TTTTTCCCCCCCCCCCCCCACTTCCCTCCATGCCTTGTGGTGAGATCGTAAGATGTTAAAAGGGCGATAGTTCAGTCAGACTATGGCTAACTAGAAAGCTCACCTGATTACAAGCCGTCAATTCACCGATAACCCCATCTACGGTCTTCATTGATCACCACCCATTAATGAATGGGCTCCTGAGGAATAACTGTTTCAAGGTCACCAACTACAGAATGACGTCTTCACGGTTAGCCTTAACACCGTCAGCATTCGACGGGATATTTAAAAGCGCAGAATCATAAAAAGGACCAAATATCCTCCCATTTCCAATCTTCTCCCATTCATTTCAAGACAGACACCCCTGAACTTGGATTGAGTGACCTTCACAAGTTTATAATTTAATAGTAAATGCCAATTGTCATTGCATTCAATATTTAATCGAAATAACTACGAGCGCCCTTATTTTGCCAAGTCTACCAATTGGTTAAATGTCAACCCCATTTTGATAAACAGCCTACTCCACTGCCTTAGTAATCCTGCAAGCATCTCTTGTGAGTCATACCACAGGGACGGCCGTGATAGGAAACTGGATAGTTTGTTAAGATTCAGCCGACCAATAATAGTGGACTTGACCGAACCAATTAGATGGGCCGGTTACCGCAACTGCTGTGTACTTTGGCTCAAGGGCGTGAATTACTATTGTCGAAGAAAGTGAAAGATGTTTTCAAGGTTATTGGGTGCATTTTACTTTCGTTTCACATATCAATATGCGTGTTTTTTTCCAACTCACTACTGTAATTCAATTTAAATTTATCTGAGTTATCCAAGGAAAAATTTTCCAGTCTATTGGAAAATGGGGTTTCTCGAATTAATCAATAGCCTTATATAGAACACCATTTTTACAAATTGACTAGATTTTGATTAAAAATTTCTATTATTTTAAAATTTTTCTTCTCTTTCTCTACTTCAGGAGTATTTTAGGATTGTTAGCGTCTTATATGTGCCCGCTAGACACAACATACGCCTACATTTCTATTTATTGCGTCAATCACGTTATTCCATGCACTTGTCTGGTGGGGTGTGCGATAGACTTACCTCCATGTGGTGCATCTTGGGCAACGTATACTCTTAGGACAAAAAATCTATAAACCGGCAGTTGACTTCTGACTTCAAACTACCATGACCCCACTGTATGCCTTATTCGACCACTTCTACGGTACTCACCTCACCTTTCATCTACCTTTGTATCTGTCTCTTTTACATCTTTAAAATACTCTTCTGTTCCCCCCTCTCGACTTTTTTTTGCTTTGATGTTCCTATCTCTCTGTGAAGTCTGAAGTCAACTAAAGGGCTAATGATAACTATCATAAGGCCTGCCATTTGATATAAATAAATAAACTAGCCGCAGGTAGATTAGCGTTGCATGCGGGATTGTTATCTAAATGAGAATTCAAAATCATGTGATAGATATTCACTAGTTCAAAAGTTGATTTTACCCAAAATAATATTTGAGCCTCAGGGTATTCTTTTGTCTTCTCAAATAGTTAGCAGTTGAACTAAATTTGTATTTGACAATTAATTTAGAGGTCCTGATTATTTTCTGAGAAGAAATCATGACTTATCGATCCAAATATGCGAAATTCAAGTTCTTCTTGGAGTTAAAAATCATCCAAAAAGTTTCTAAAGAGGATCCAGCTCTTGGTAGAACTTCATTAATATCGAAATTATATATAGGTGGAATGGAAAAACAGATTTTGAGCCACCAACAGTGATTTCCTTCCTCGTTCTAAAATCAGGAAAACCTTTTTCAACTTATTCTCTATGGTGTTTGGATATTAATGCCGAGAAAACTGTATTTTCATTTATGGAATAGCCAGATTAAGAATTGAACAGATCCTTATTACATAAAATTCTAATTTCACATATTTACCGTATAGTCAAATGTTATTTCTCTGCATTCTGCTTGTCATGAAAACTTTTCTTTTCATTGATTTTGGCTATTTAGTTTGCTTCTAACCCTCCTGCGCACTCCTGTCATCGTTAATTCGTGAAATTGTTGATCAAAAGTATACGTTCAAGGTCTTGAATTCATTGGTTAATTATAAGTTGTTCAGACACCATTTTGCTTTCCTGTTTTCTTACAATACATGGGATGCCTTTAAGTAAAGTAAGAGCTAACGGATGCGGTAACTGTTATAATATAATATTATTAAAACTTTAATTAATTAGTTTGTCATTACAAATTAATGCTCAATTTCAATGGATAGACAAAATACCGATGGAAGAAACTCCAACAACAACTTCAACATATATTTTTTGGAGTTATTTGCATAAAACAACTTTTTTCTTATTTTTAAGCTACCCAGAATTGAAAAATATAATTTAATTACTTATTGCGTGGGAAGATAAAATTGAACAATAAAAAATCGAGACATTTAAACGCAATCTCCCGATTTTATGGTCGTGCGATTTAATAATTGTGTTAGAAGTTGATTCATTATTAGATGCACTTATGAAACCGCCTTAACAACGAAAACACCTCCATAGGAGGTTACGATCATGTCATAAACTTGGGTCATCAATATCTATTAGAAAAATAAATCTGAACATATATTCAAATCGATTATTTCGAAATAATTGACAGGGGTATTTCAATAATGATGTGCTTCAAATAACTTGGTACTTTTAGTAAAAAATTACCTAAAGTGTAAATTTACATATTTTTATGCTTTTAGTTTGATGTTTCTGACTTTAAAATACGCACACACGCACTGCGCTATTTAATCGTTAACCAAACTGTAAACAAACTTATTTGATGTTAATAATAATAATAAGATTGTGCCAGAGGCGCAACCTGGCCAAGGAGAAAAATAAATCACCCGAATGCTTAGGTTGCTATTGGTCAATTCCTTAGTTTAACCGACACATACATGAAAATAATAAGGTGGTAAGCTTAGAAAAGGAACGATGGTAATTGATTTATTTACGAGGTGTTATATTCTTTATTTGTTTGATCTCTCTTTGGGTATGACATACTTCTATCTTCCTTAAGTCACGTTAGCAATCCATCTCTGTCGAAATTAAATCACCGTAATAAATAAATTGTGATATTTAATAAATAAATAAATAAATAAATAAATCAAATTTCAGGAATGATAAATTTAATCAAATTCCACTTAAATTCGCAAATATTTAAATAGATCTTTGAGATTTGACCATGTGCATTGGCCCTGGATTTCACATGCAAATATTGAAGAAATGGTTAAAATAACGTTTAATTCCATGAAAAGTGTGTATTATCTGATTCATTTTGTAATTATTACGCGAAAATCGTGCTATTAAGATCAGATATTAAAATTTCCCAAAAATCAAATCATTTTGAGACTAATTTATTTAACTTACTAAATATTTTTCTGCTTATTTTACTCTTTAACCTTTTATTTTTTAGAAAGCAATCGAATAAGAATTTTGAAGAAAAGTGTGTCCACTTTAAAGTATTCGCTGAAGAATCAGATATTTTGACACTTTTGCCTCACGAAAATCCACTTTCAGACCACCAATGAGGCTTTCACAGCCACCTTTTTTCAGTTCAAAATAATTGTTTTATTTTATCGCTTTCCGATTCTGTTTGGTTTATTTTTAACCAAGACCTTCCTACGTAGGCGAAGACGTAGAGCTGGAAGACAAGCATTTAAGTTCCCAAAAGTGCTTCTACCCTAATAATTTTACCAAAAAATGATTAATTCCAGCTTCATTTTGTATCAATATTTTCTGCTTTTCTCACCAAAAATTAAGAAATATTATTATTTTGAAAAGGGCATAGAGATTTGTCTAAAAAGAGCGCAAATTATATACTGCATCCAAAACAGGGAAAAGTGTGATACGCAGTTTTATTATTCTATGCATAAACTAATTTTCCACTATTTCATAAAGGAGTAATGTCCTTATTTTAACTGGGAAACATTTATTAACATATTGAAAATTCTCTTAATGAATATGAAGAATAATTCTGGTACATACCACTGCATAAATTTAGAAACTGGTTAATAATGTTTGCTTCTATGTTTATAGACCAATAATAAACAGTGGATTGATCAATGTGAAGATATCAAAAAGATTATTCCCTCTTTCCCACTTATTTTACTGCTACTTTTAGATCGACGAGTGAGTATTGAGTTATCAAGAATCCCCCTGCTATGGATGAATCCGATAAGACGCGGCTCTGAAAACGTGAGACAGCAGATTCGTGGAAGTTTACAAATCGCTATTCAGGATGCGCGTTTCGATCGATATTTCAGCAGAATTTCAACTATCTACAATCTTCACGAGAATGAATTTTGTCACGAGGAAAATTTTGGTAATTAAACAATCTGCATTCATTTTCTAACTCATACAAATGACTCGAGGGGAAAAATTAAATGTAATTCGATTAGTTAGTTAATTGCTTTCTAAAGTAGCAGTTTATGATTTGTTGGAGTTTTGTGATATTAATTTCGAATATCCTCTGATTATGTTAATTTCGCATTTCTCTGTGATCGGAATCGGTTTGGTAATTATTTCTACAATAATTTGAACGCACTAGTGGCTATTTGCAAAGGCTCTTTGCTCGTCTGTATGGGAAAAGTGCCTCTAATCTTAAGTTACAGCAAATTACCATATGGTTTAAAATAGAAAAAAATGTAGGCGAATGACAAATGGGAGACTTGTCATGAAAGTACTGCTTTCAGAAATGCAAATAGGGCCATTTAAAGATGGCGTCAATTTTCTCATCATTATGTCATCTCTATCAGATTTCAATTATAATTTCAATGAAAGGTTTTATGCCTCCGCTGAATTCAAAGTGAGCTTGCTAGAAATCATGCAAGAGCAAGGTTGAAAAGCATATCAATTTGAGAGAACTCTAAATAATCGAAATATTTTGGTGTAAATAGTATTAACTGTAACTAAACCAATAAGTTACTGAATGAAACGAATTATTGTTATTATGAAACGACATTTCACTTAAAACTTTGAAAAATTTAAGCCATGGTTTTTTCACGTATATTCCATCAATATTACCATAATATTAAAAGTTTTGTAGACATCACGGAAACTGTGCCTAAATGCTTAAAATGTTGCCATCTAAAAATACCGCTGCTAGATATGGAGTCAATATATAATGAAAATAATAGCAATTTGATTAGAAATAGCAATACGCAGCACATTAGATATGTCATAGAAGGAAAGTTATATTTACCACTAATCTTCCTGTACTTTTACATCGTTGGAGAACATATTGACGTGATGTCTAACATGAAATAAAATCAAGGACACACACGTGTGATTAAAGTCATAAAAAGGAGAATTTGTATTGGTTTTAATTTATAAAGTTGAAAATTAACTTTGTGGTAATTAAGGTTACGAGGAAGTGCGGATCTTTGGTAGCTGCAGTTCGTTCCAGATAATAAGATTACAAATTTGGCTTGATAGTAGTTAGTACACCATTATCAAGATAGAAAGCTTAGCGGCATCAATCAAGTAAGCAAAGATTCAGGAATACTGCCTACTTATTATTATTTCTAATTCTATCATTATTTGTTTACGATTTGCGCAAAGTATTGCGGTCGATATAAAACGCATAGCATATTCTTTCCTTCTTAGTCATGCAGCTTAATGCCTTTCTTCGCTGAATTTTAGAGCAACCTCTAACGATATGTTTGGATTGTAATATGTCTGTGGATGAGGTGGCCTTTGGCTTGGCGTTGCAGTCCATGACACCTTTTCGTTTTTCCTGCAATCGTCTCTTAATGCGACGTTTGCCCGAATTACAACTCCCGGCGTTCAATCTCATCAGACTACTTGATCCCCTGGTAAGTAAACATGCTACCTATTATAAGAGGTTACCATGGTATTGAATTCGTGCTAGGTTTTATTCGGTTTTACTTTCATAATTATGTTAGCACAAAATGGCGTCTGTTATCTGTGTCTTTACGGCCATAGGTATTTGTTTATACAGATAACATCAAAGTTCCGCACAAATACTAAATTGCTGAAGATTTTGTTTGATAATAAGAACTAATCACTTGCAGATGATAAAATGTCTTCTTTAAATTTCAGTTGATTGCAAATCACAAAATTCTGATCGAAAATTCCCAATAATTTCCCAAAATTCATTTTTAACAGCTTTAAATTGAACAGCCATCAGTTAGAGTAAATTCATCGCAATTTTAAAGTGGAAATAAGAGTTTAGATTTTTTTTTTGAATAAAATATCTTATTCGTTATTTTGATTTTGGAGTCAAAGGATTTCTTCATCACCTTGAAATATGGCAAACGAGGTTGCCTAGGACGTTCTTTCCAAATTAGGATTTGCAATTCAAATATTTTTTTACTACTAACTACACTAAATTATAAAACAGTCAATAAGCGTTATGGATCGCGTTGAATAATTCGTTTACTAATTTTGTGCACAAGCAAATAAATCCGAAGTTTCATAAGTGAAGCAGTACTGTCTGAAAACGAAAATATTTATTCATTTAAAATGGCAGTCATTTTGATAGCTATTATTAGCCATTTAGCTGACTTTGGACTTCACAGAGGGAAGATTCATCAAAGTAGCAGAAAGTCGAGTACAGAGGGAAGATTAATCAGAGTAGCAGAAAGTCGAGGGGTGGGGAAGAGAAGCTCATCAAAGTAGCAGAAAGTCGAGGGGTGGGGAACAGAAGAGCGGTTCGCAGATGCAAGAGACAGAAAGGCACAAAGGTAGAGAAAAAGGTAAGGTGAGTACTGTGTAAGTGGTGGAATATGACATACAGGGGGGTGATGGTAGTTTGAAGTCAGAAGTCAATTGGCAGTTGCTGCATGAGTATACGTTGCCCAGGGTGCACCACGTGGAGGTAAGTCTATCGCACACCCCGAAAAAGAAAATATAATGTAAAAGGACCCCTCTGATTCACAGGCTCCATTGGGAACTCATTTTAAATTTTCTCCCTTATAATACAAGTTAAAATATTTTTCCTATATGATCTAATTTACTTTTCCATGATTAAAGCACTCATTGTTTGACATCGGATCGGGGGGATCTTCTATCGGTAAAGGGCGTAGTTGTGTCCTATATTCTGAAATTGTCAAAAAATGTAGTCAAAAAATACAAGGAAATTCTTCACAACGCTTCCTTCCATCTTAGTTGTCTTTTTTTCCAGCTGTAAGATATTGTTCAGTAAAACAGATACTCCATTGGAAAAAACATTCGCACAAATACATGCATGAAAAGAGGACATGCTAGTGAAAAAAGTACATTCTGGATAAGTTACAGGTCAGATCTAGGGTAGTGATGCTACCCAGCATCTGTCCAATACGTTAAGTTGCAGGTTTGCCTGCCAAAATAGGAGGCTTTATGAATACCCCATTTAATTACCCCATACTACCTACAATTTTCTTGATGAAAACATGGTAGGAAAAATATACAATAATTTATGTTCTTAAAAAGATTTTGTTAAGCAATTATGTATTCCAAAGCAAATTCTTTGTGAAGAAACCATGGCCAGATTCTTTTGACTTGCTTAAGTAAGTAGAAGTAATGCTTAGAATTCAAGAGCTCGATGAACATATGAAGCTAAGATTATTACGAGGAAGTTCTATTAAGAAAATGTAGAAGCAGTTAGAAAAATTACAGGCAGGCAGATAGGCAGGCAGTCGGGGTGCGTGCCTGCAAGTGGGAAGTTTCAAGAAAACGTATATAGACGAGTAATAGCCCTCTTGGGAATTCAAACAAGGGAATCAAATATTTGGAGTTAAGCAGTGAAAACAATATCTCAAGTCACCTCAGGTTTAGTCTAAGGGTTTGTTTCCCGACGCTTGGATGAGTCATGCACCCAGAAATGAACATCAGAAAAACAAATTATTAAAAGGTATGTTGACACAGTAGAGAGCGGTTTAAATTCCTTAAAAATTATTGAACCACCTGGATGAATTTTACCGTTATGCATACTGTAACACTTCTTTTTAATTTTTAATATCTTACATTGTTTTATCACTATACATTTTGAATATCTTCTATGGTGTTCGTGCCCACTAGATATCGTTAATTAGAAACCAGAGGGAGAAATGCAACTACTTCAAAGCACTTTATCACCTCAACAAAGACTGTTTGAATGCAGATGATCCTCATATCTTTGATATTGTAGATCGAAAGACCACCTTATCGATAACAGTTTGTCCCTCGATTGAATGTCAAACTCTTAGGAATGTGAATTACTCATTTCGTGACAAGCCAACAACCCTGTGGCTTTGAACTTTGCATATTACTTCCTATCACACTTAAAAAAAGTTATGATTGTTGTCTAGCGTTCAGAATTCGTTATTCGTTGAGGTGAATGAACTATTTTGATTGGGTTCATGAGCTGGGATAGGGTCTCATGAGCGATAGTTTTGCTGTAAAGATAAGTAACAGGTAAGACTTTCTTCATTTTATTGGTTAGCTATTAAAGTTGTGGACTTTCATCATATCGTTTAAACATTTTATAATAATATTTTTCAGAAATTTCAGGCATTTTATTCGAATTTATTTTAGTCAATAACGCAGTTTGAATTGGAAGATCCAGAACTGGGTTCAGGTTCCAGAGGTGGTTTACCCTCTGCTCTGGGATGGTTGGGAAGTCTGCGTAATCTTCGAGCCTGTTCCTTGCCTGCTTGCATTCCTCCTCCGTTGAATTCCTCCACTCTCTCTACTAGCTCAGTGCCACCTAATGCCAACTCCATAGCCGCTGCTAACAATCCCAGTCAAGTCGCATGTCGACTGCTAAACAGATCTCTCATCTCCCTGAGACATATTCAGAGACTCAGTCTCGCAAGATGTTATTTACAAGGACAGCTACAATTACTTCTCGGTGGGCTTAGCCAACCTCTGGAGTATCTAAATCTACAGGTACAAGGTTCGAATGCATCTTCGCAGTCTGTATATGTAGATATTACTTGCCAATCACTCTCATTTTAATTCCCTATAGGATTGCTGTCTTAACGCAGATGATATTGAATTTCTGGCATTCAATTGGCGGCCTCTATCGGGTTTATACGAACTAAATATCTCTAGAAATAATTTGGCTCGTGTACCTGAGAGCACACTTGCTCATCTCTTCTGGAACACCTGTTTCAGCCATAGTGGTCATCTTACGTGTTTATCCCTCGCCTATACCTGCCTCCCATTTGAACGTCTAGTGTGGATACTTCGCCTACTTGCCAGAGAAATCAAATCCTCGGTGAGACAACTATTTTCTGCTCACTGAACAGCTTTAGTATCCTATTAAGTGTAAGTGTACTCAGTTGGGAAAGGAGAGGCTAATTACGCTCTGGTAAAATTTGATAATTAGCTTTAATCATGCTAATAAACTTATCAACAATTTTAAGAGCGGCTAAAATTACTCGAAGATGTGACTTATTAATAAATTTTCGGACCGAAGTGGCCTACGCTTCCATTAACTTGAAGAATTTCATGAGCCATAGTAACTGTTAACTGCGCAACTAATTTCTCCATTCTTGTAGCAGATTAAGCACTAAGACAAGTGATGATTGGGTCAACTAGTAGCAAGGAATTTAACATTGAAGATTATGGTTCAAAAGTTAATTAAAATTAAGCATTCCACGAAATAGCTCAAAAAATCCTATTGTGGTCTATTGTAGCTACAGTTCCACAAAAACATAAGGAGGTGATAGCATAGTTGCTCCATTTTTTGCGACTAAGGTAATTCACTCATGAGACTTCAGTCGCATATCTAAATGGCCTGTAATAGTAAAATCCAGTTTCCATTGGATGGCCTCCGTTCACAAAAAACGAAAGAGCCTGTTTAAGGTACCAAGACAGGCCGATTTTTACTCATGTTGGCTCAACTAACAAACTCACAAGTTGACATTTTGTTAAGTAGACCGTTTTGATGCTTACCGATAGAAAGGGTTTTTTCCTGCATAATCAAAAATGGCTGAAACGCGTCACTTGAAACCAAAACGACTTGTTAATTTTAAATGTTTATAGCCTTGCATATATCATTATGACCAAATATTACGACGGGGGTTAATACATAAAAGAAGTCTCTTTAACATGTTTCAAATAACTTGATTCGGGCGATTTGACTGTGAATAGTTTGTACAATATTCTAAATTAGCGAATGGATTTAGTTTCTATGTACATCACCACCACCAGAAAAGTCTAAATGTACATTATTTTTACTTTGAGCAAAAATATAGTGACTAAAAACAATGACTCGGTAATTGCATTCAGAGGATCAGGTTATTGAGTATTTATACGGATTGTCTCCTGAAAAATGGCATGAGATATCAGTGTTCTAGAAAGTTTAACAGTCGTTTAAAGCTAAAACAATAAGTAGAACGGGTTTTAAAATTCCAGTATAAAGCAAATATTGCCCTATAATTGCTAGGAAAGTCTGGGGAAAGAAAACACATATTTTCACACACGATTATCATAAAGTTCAATTTCCTCGGCCATTAAGGGACGATAAGGAGGCGACATAAAGCAGGTATCTGTGTAAGAGAGGCGTCAAAATTTGATCCTTTTGCATAGAATTTGAATGAACACTGGAGTTAATTATTTGCACAATCAGATCTGTATAATTTGAGTGAAAGGTTCACTTAAATTATTTATTATTTACCACAGGATGTATCTAAACGGACGACGCCAACAAATATCCAGGATTATCCAATATCTTCTGATGAATCCGATATTGAATTACTTTCATCCAGATGCACTTTGAGAGTTCTTTGCATTCAGAATTTTATTCCGCCAACTCATGAAATTAGTCGTGGATTGCTTCATTTGGCCATCACTTTACCGCGCCTAAGACTACTTCAACTTTATCCAGCATTCTATGCATTTCCTGGGGTGAATGAAAAAGAACAACAGGCTAACAGAGCCCAAGCAGTGCTACAGAGCAATACATACGTCAGACGTCGAGGTCGTACTGGCATTGAGATCCAATGATTCATACACACTTTATATTCATTTTCAATATAATCTATATTTCACACAACAAATGACCAAATAATATTCTGTATAGAATTTTTAAACGGAATTATATGTGTAAATCAATAAGCAAATGTTTGAAATGTGATATTTTATGAATCGGTTTATTTCCAAACAAAAAACGTTAATACCAGAATACCTTTAAAAATATCAAAACACTTGGTTCTATCTATCCCTTTCCTTTTAATTGCATACCTTGAAAATGTTGGTAATTATTTGAGCTAATTGGATAAGTAATTCAGACAACGTAAAGGCACAAAATTGACTTCAAGTTGAATATCAATTTTTAATAAACAGCTTTGATTGCTTTAAATAAACTTAAGTAAATTCAATAACAGAAAATTTAAAATATTAACATGTTGATGCCTAGGAGCTCGTCCAAGACAAACAGGAAGATACTGAATTAATGATGTCTTGGAGCACATTCGCAAAAACTTTAATAAAAAATGCGCACAAATTACAATTTGAATATCAAATGAATTCCATTTCACTTTCTATTCCAGTTCATTATATACGGTATAAATTGACAAATTTCCAAAATGTATAAGCATATAAATTTTTATGGAGAGTATTTGACCAAATCAAAGAATAGCTAGACGAAATGAAAACTCCCAAAGTATCATAATTAGACAGCAACTAACTTTCCTTAACGATTCTTATTAACTTTTGATTGTTGTATAAAAGAACGTTTTAAACGAAAACCTTAGAAATTAGGAATATCCTTTAACTTTCCCCGGAAAAAAATTATTGAATGAGTCAATGAATTTATTATGAATAAAATAATGAGCGAAAACAAGTATAAAATTTCATATCACTCGTTTATCGGTAATATAATATAATATATAAAGTTAAAATAATATAATAAGGTAATATTTGTTATATACTATTTTTTATCATTAAAGATTACACTTTTCTATATTTGTTGTTGTTAAAATATATTTTGACCTAGTTCAATCAGCTGTTTTCTTTTATTCATGCGCTCTGTGTCTGTGGAGTCTTGCGCGTTTCCATAATCACGCTTCTGGCTTGTATTTTCGGACGCTTAATTTCTTACTTTATCGAATTCAGTTTGTAACACTTTATGACTACAAATACAGATGTTGCAAATGTTTAGAACAGCTTTTTCTTCAAATCTTCGACGGCAAATTATTGCAACTGCTCTCTGTACCGGAGCAGCGTATCGTGTGTATTCAACTTGGAATACCTCCTTCATAAATCGGACACAAAAAAATGTGCTTCCATTTGTCTTACCTGTTATCGCCTGTTCTCATCCCAGACGCTTCCCACTTATGGCAAACAGTTTCGAAACAGAAAATGATTCTTCAATTGACGATCCCAATGAAAATGAGCACCATTGGAGACGTGTCGCAAAATTAGATTTCCTTCAAAACTGGATTGAAGAACAGATTCCCTTAACTTTTACGCGTGGTTTACTAGACACAATTAATATACTTGATTCCAATACAATTCTTGAATTCGAAAGATTAGGTGCCCCTTCATTACTTCTGAGGTATTTTTGCGGATGGTTATTTTGCATTGTTTTACTATATTTGAATGCAACATTAGTATTTCAATACCCATTTTCCTTTTGGTAGGAGTTCTGCACAAGCTAATTTCGCATTTGCTCTCCTCCGTACATATTTCTTCCTCATTTCCGCTTCAAGACGAATAGAGGTCTTGAATATTATTATAGATGGCAAGAACTGGGCTGTAGAGACGCATCTTCGACTTGTCCTCCTTCCTTCACCCTCTCGTGAGGATCGCACTTTGCCTCCCCACAAACTCAGAAAGGTTCTTGAATCTAAAGCAAGGTAAGTTCACCTTATTCTAGTAAACCTAAATATTCACCTCATTTGTTAATTACCTCAATAAATTCGGTATCTTCAATATTTATTAGTGTAAATTGTGAGTGAAATGGCATTGTCTGATGCCTATATGTGATGACATTTCAGGTTATTCGAATCATGGTTAGATTTCTATATAACTAATATATGACATGCACAAAGGTTCGGTCTTATCAGTGGGTAGTGAACGGTTTATAGTTAGACTAATATTACTCTGAAAGAATGGCTAATATGCGGTCAATAATATTTTAATGAGAGAGTATTTAAATAGGCCTGTTTAGAATTGCCATGAATTTATGGGTTATTGTTAACTATCGGCCTTTTGCGTTGGTTACTTAGTTACCCTAAAATATTTTTTTTCATTTCTATTTTTCCTTGTTAATTTTAGTCTATTTAACTCGGTTTTTATATTTGCTTATGAGCACTGTTTATTTAAATTTAAAGTGATTTGCTTTTAGAACAAATTATAAGATAAATCTTCGTTTTTTGACAACTTTGAGATTGCTAGGGAAGTTTTTTCAGCTCTCATTTTGTTTAGATTTTCTTATTATACACCAACTGAAATTTTACTAACCTTCATCAGTCGGATTTAAAATATGAGGTTGATCATTTTGCTTATTAATTGTGCACCGGTGAACTTTGACCTCGCGACCTCTTATATTTAATGATGGCTTGATGACGCACTCAGCTATAACCCAATAAATCATATTTAAGGCTTTGTATGTTAGGGATTATTGAAGCGTTGAAAGTTCAAAAGTTTTTCAAAGATTATTGGACTAGATATTAATAAACGATTCGGATTCATTTGTTCCCCTTTATTCTCTGCAGAGTTTCAATTGGTTTTTTAAGTGCTCCCTCTTTATGCTAGTTGTTTATATGTAAACTGACTATTGGAGATTTGGAACTGCTTATTCGTAGATTAACAGTTAACAAAGCTTACTTGAGCACTCATGCTTATTTAGGATTAACTGAATGGTATTGAAAATCAATGTTTGGTTTTCCCTTTCTTAATTATAGATGGATCGAATTCCGAGTTATCTTCCATTTGAACAAAAAAGGTGACATCTCTCTTGTCAAGATAACAAGGGTATGAATTCTCCCTAAAATCAGCTAGTTTTTTAACTTATATTTGTCAAGTTGATATGATATTTTTATTTACAATTTTAGATTAATCAGCGTGATTCTCATGAATGGTCTCTTTCAAGGACACAAATGCGTAGATATGTCCCTGTTGCCCAAGGTTTTGCTATCCCTCTCATAACCCTCGATTCCTCTAAACCCGATGACATTGATCTCCAACTTGACCATATACTCTCACATCTTGAAGTTCTATTCAAGAAGGGCTCTCCCGTTGATATTGATCTCTATTCTAGTTTAAAGAAATGGGAGAACTATGTTTGCAACGTTCTATATGAGGCGAGCAAAAGGAACAACAGACAAATTTCCTCAAATGCCAAAACCCGAACCTCTGACCATCAAGTCGTCATACCTCTCCTTACTGCCTTCCCCTGTATCTCAGGCTTTTTTTCGTTCTCCCAATCTGTCGCGTAAAAGTATTGACGCATTAACCCTCTCCCTGAACACATTTTTCCCACTGTGTATAGCAATTATTGTAGTAATCATAGTGAGTAGATATTTCTTATGCTATAGTTCACCGTGAACTTCGTACTTCCTTTTGTTTGGACATTTTTATATCTGCGTGGAAAATGGAGATCATCATTTGTTATTTTCCATTTTTCAACCTATTGTGAATTAAGATGCTTTATTAATTACAGATATTAAGTATTAGCTTGTGTACGCTTTTACCAGCAGATGCAGAATTCGGCCACAGAAGAGGTATATAATCTATTTGTGTATTTGGGGCCTTCCAATAAGCACTCGTTCTGATATTAGTATTTGTGTAATAGTACTGTTTCGTGAATGCCTCTAGGTAGCTGATCGTACAAACCAATTTCATTCGTGGTAAATTCCCATTGGAGTCGTTGGTTTATATCGGGGTAAATATAGGGAATAAAACGAGCTGACCGGGTTGTACTCGATGGTCTACCAATAAGCTGAAAAATAACCGTATTTGTTAGTGAAAGCATTCTTCAAATCTGCAAATCGATCTCACCTAAAGTTAATTCCAACATCTAAAAGTTAACCCGCAACCACGATATTTGTTTATATCGGGGTGTGTGATAGACTTACCTCCACGTGGTGCACCCTGGGCAAAGTATACTCATACGCAAGAAAGTCTATTATTCGGCAGTTGACTTCTCACTTGAAATTACCCTCACCTCTTTGTATGTCATATTCCACCACTTCCACAGTACTCACCTCAATTTTTTCCACCTTTGTGTCTATCTCTTTTACATCTGTGAGTCACTCTTCTGTTCCCCCTCTCCACTTCTTCTCACTTCGATTACTCTCCTCCCTTCTGTGAAGCCTGAAATCAACTAAAGGGCTCATTTTAACTATCAAAACGTCTGCCATTTGATATAAATGAATAAATATTTGCTTATATCAAATGACAGGCTTTACGATAGTTATCATTAGCCCTTTAGTTGACTTCAGGCATCACAAAGGGGAAGGAACATCAAAGTGAAAAAAGTCGCGATTGGGGGGGGGGGACAGAAGAGTTTTTAGGGTGTAAAAGAGACATACACAGGTTCTGCAAGCATTAACTTGAAGTATTCCAAGTGTAACATATTTTTCGACATTATCATTTATTAGCTTGCAGCTATTCAGGTCATTCGTTGACCCAGAAGCTTACTTATTCACATCGGCAGTGCATTGGATTGTGCGAAAATAAGGTTAGGAATGAAGCCCTACTGTCTAGTGTTGAAATGCCTGACTTAGAGAATAGTATGCTGTTACTTCAGTGATTGATGCTCATTCACACGAAGGAGAAGGCTTTTAACGTTGCGCTGTTCTCTACTTGACTTAGATTGAAGATCGGTCAGTGAAATGATGACACCATTTTGATTGACACTAAACTTACAGCTTGGGGGGGGGGGGGGGGGAGGGGAGACCTTGGGATACCACCTACTCTAATTCCAAGAGTAAGGACCTCTTTTTCACAATGGAGCCGTTTGAATTTGTTTACGTATTTCGTTCTTGTCTTTGATACTTTTCACGTTATTTAAAAAAGAAGCCAGAATTGAGAATATTTTAGCATTTAGTTATTTTCACGGATTTCGGTTCAGTCAATTGGTAAAGGTGGCGACATATTTTGTTGAAGAGATAAGCCCAGGAAGTTGCTTATATATTTACAAGATAGCAGTTGCTATTATAGGGATAAATTTAACGTAAGCTGAAGATTGGAACGAATGATTTGCTTCTAATGGCGAGCACACAGTAACAAAGTTTTGGCAATTCATTTTCAGTTAATCACTTTACCAGGTGACACAACTGCGAACTTCATCAGTTAATTACCGATCCTATAGAAGATTCATCCGCATATATTGTTGGGATTCCTACAATAATTTTTAAAGCCACTTTTTCAATAAATATTAAGCATGCAACTTCGTTTAATAGTTTCAATGAGCCAATTGTCAATTTGACTGATAGTTGCTTTAAAAGTTCATTGTACCCTACTTAGTTTCTCGTCAATACTTTTATCATATTCTTACCTAGGTGTCATAACATGGACTTCTCTAAGCCTAAATGAACAAGAAACACAACGAAAGTCTTGAACTTAGTCGGCATGGTTCTTATTACTCTTCCATACACAAAGAAGAAGAGGAATGGTTAACCCTCCTCCTCATCTCTGTATCTTTGATAAATGAGCGCGTTATCTACCTGATACATTACACTGGTGCGCGAGAGTAATAAACGACGAAACTTTTGCTCGAGGACAGACTTCCGATCGAGAAATTTCTATGAGTTCTTCTAATGGCGTCAAAAATCTTCTCAGCAAAAGCGTACTTTAACTTAAATATGCTACAATTTCTAGCAGCATATTGTTAGTTCACTTTACCAAGAACTTAAGTAGCCAATTTGATTGTAAAGGATGGAGTAAAAAACTCTATTTTATTATTTTTTGCTTAGTAATCTTTTATTCGATATTTCAGAAACTCCAATCGGAAATAGGAAAAGTGCAACGGAAAAAACGAAAAGTACATCTTCGCATTTGGTTGTGAATATTGCGTCGAATTAATGTCAAACTTTTGAGTTGACAAGGCATAAAAGTACCAATATCAATAGAAGTCGCACCAAACTGAAATACTTTTCAAAAAAATCTTTGGCCAATTATCAAAGATTTCTCTAGTTTGTTAGCGAGGTCCTCCTTTAAGCTTAATTCTTGTAATTTAGGTTTTTGAGGAAAATAACAATGAGAAATAAGCTAATTTCACTTTGTAGTGGATTGCTATACTATAAAGCCTTGACCATACCCAGTAATCTCTATGATGTATTCTCCTGTGCTTAGGAAGACTCCCAGAATTACCCAAGCTGCCAAAAAGAAACCATAGACTTTGGCCTCCACTTTTGTCGTACTAAAGTTGGTTTCCCCACAACATTGAATAACTGATTGCATGTGTAAAGTGAGCAGAAGCTAATAAACTTGAGTTGCACAAATTAGAATAATCAGGTGGATTTCAAAGTGCCCCTTTTAGGAACTAAACCATCTGCCTGTAAAGAAAACGAGAACTCTATTGTGAGGCCACAACGCTAGGAAGGCCAAACCAAGCGGTCAATTGAGAACACCATCAGTCTCAAGCGTACTGACGTGCAATTTCTCGAGTTGGGGAGTAAGCATGCTCGAGAGTGCATGGACCTCTAGGCCAGCCAGTAACCAAAAGTTGCTGCATTTTTGGCTTACCCTATAATGGTCCTGTGTCAAGGCTCCACAACTAGAATAAAACACTTTCGCACAATACCCTCTGTTTCCACAACATTGTTGAGGTAGCTCAGCTTTTCTCTTACTATGCGATTTCGCCGAGGTTGAGACAAGTCCCAATTAAGTGACATCCGCAATTACTACACGACCTTAATTCCAGAGAAAAGCAGACAAAGTGATGCGTGATAATGGCTAACAAATAAAAAACCCATATATAGGAAACAGGAGAGCTGTTGTTTCTTCAATCCAATTGCCCAAAGGACAAAGGCCAAAATCTACCAGTCGTTTTCTGTTATGCTAAGAACAGGAAGATCTCTTTGGGATGTTCGAAATGTCCAGCTCGCGTACACTCTCAAATTTATAATTAAGCATAAACATTTCAATGTTAAAAGGATGTGAAAAAAAATATTTGCATCATCAAATTTGGCCTCTTAGAGATACTAACCTTGCAACTGCGAGAGTAAAGGATGAGTTTAGCTTGAAGTGGTTAGTTGCACTAATTAGCCTTGGTTTAGGTCCATAAACGTGCTCATCCCGCAAATGATTTTTCAGTTCAGCCATGTCATCCACCCCCC